TAGATTTCAATTACAATACATATTTTTAAAGGCTGTTTTCTGAATGAGTTTTTTTTCCCTACACTGAGCCATAAATCTCCACTTCAGTAGCACTTACACACACCGAACTTTACATTTTTATTCCTGTCTATATCCTGAAGGTTTTTACAGAGGGATTTGTTCATGTATAATTTGCTTGATTATATACAACCTTTTATTCCCCCAAAAATTGTGAAAATGTAGTGTTTTCTCTCCGTTCTAAGCATTTTCTAAGCATTTTCTGAATTATGGAGTGAATTATGGAGTGACAAAAATGAGATACCCAAAATTCCCTCTGTATGTACTAGAAATGTATGCAAATTATGCAATTAGCGCATATTTCATTAAATAATGACTCATTTGCATATTTAAACCTAACATTTTAGAAAACTTGTAATACAAAAAATGTTTGCAATTCTCAATGTAATCAATCAGCTGGGAAGACGATAACTATTAGTTATTTTTTTTACCCTATTCACCTGCAGTGTCTCGCCTTAAGTTGTACAAATTTTTATATTTGTAATTGTAATAATATTTCACAATATTACTGTTTTTACTGTATTTTTGATCTAATAAATGCAGCCTTGGTGAGCATAACTCCTTCAAAAATATTAAATTGCCCCTATAATGCCATTTTTAGCATTCCTAATATTGTTTTGGGAGTCTCCTACAATAGGTTTACATGCATGCAAGGTCAAAAAACGCTTTTGTTTTCTCAAAATATGTATTTACTATCACCTCATTTTCCAACGATTCTCAAACGATTAGTTCGAAGCAGTTCTAAAATGCAGTCTCTCTAAACCCCTCCTTTCCGTGAGCCTGCTCTGCTCTGATTGGTCAGATGGCCCAGTCTGTTGTGATTGGTGTACCGCGTACAGCGCGTGTTGGAAATAATTTGCCCATTGCCATAGTTCCATATTTTGAACGCGTGATAGAAAATATAAACATCTATTGTTTATCATACATACAGGTTGTGATTCAGTGGAGCCAGCTGGTCCAGATAAACTGGGTACTGAGCCATCTTTCAAGAGCAAGCATTTTGTGAATCCCGCGTTGAACTCCCCGAGATTAGAGAAGCAGTCGTCAGTAAAATGAGAGGAACACAAAAATAGGCGGGCATTATGGAAATGTGTTACCCTGTGATGTGTAGCTGTCAAAGAAGTGCGATTCGAATGACTGACGACTCGTTTAGGCTGTTCAGAGTCGATTCTTTCTTTTGGGAGAAAATAACTTTATTTATTGTGCACTTTCGGCTCTAGAAAACATTAACATTCACATACAGCTACATTACACACTGCATGAAAGGAATTTTCGAAATGGCATAATAGGGGCACTTTAAAAAACCTTACAGAGCCCAAACGTTTGAATGCATTTTTTATTGAATTGTTGATGTTGTAAATGGTGTTTTGGCACAAAGTTACTTTGTAAAGGCTAGAAAAAAATAGACAGATTCCAACATGGGCACATTGTGTAACATGTTTCACTTAAAAATCATGAGCAAGGTTAAAAATACAACCCAGAAAACATGAAATACAGGTTAGGTTTGGTGCTGTGTTGGGTTGCTACTTGATGTCTAATGCCAAATAAGGTCCTGAGAATCACACACATTAACAAAATAGGAGGAGTGCAATTTAACGGTAACACTTTACAACAAGGTTCATTAGTTAACATTAATTAACTACTTTAGTTAACATGAACTAAGCATGAACAATACTTCTGCAGCATCAATCGTAGTTAATGTTCATTTCAACATTTATTAATGCATTATTAAAATCAAAAGTTGTGCTGGTTAACATTAGTTAATGCACTGTGAATTAACATGAACTAACCGCGAACGACTGTTTTTTCATTAACTAACATTAACAAAGATGTATAAATACTGTAATACATGTATTGCTCATTGTTCATTCATGTTAGTTAAACTAATGGAACCTTATTGTAGAGGGTTACCCAGTGTTTTGAGACCATCAATAAGCCCATATATTTTTCATGGAAGAATACATCAAATTGACATTATTACATCACACTAATCTGACTTAACCTCACAGGTGGAGCTCAGCCTTCAGAGCAGTTTTCAGCCTGGAATGAAGCTTGAAGTAGCTAATAAGGGCAGTCTGGATACATATTGGGTGGCCATCATTATAACCACATGTGGTCAGTTGCTATTGTTACGCTACTGTGGCTATGGCGACGACCGCAAGGCTGACTTCTGGTGTGACGTCATGACAGCCGAACTTCATCCTGTCGGCTGGTGCGCTCAGAACAACAAAACGCTTCAGCCACCTAAAGGTAAGGCGCAAGTGCACACAAACATAAACCAGCACACCTTCAGAGATGCATGTCTACTCAAACATAGATAAAGCTCATGTTGAAACAGTCCCTCCTGTCTAAACAAATGACATCCACCCACACACACACAGCTTCTTGCTATGTAGCAAGTCCAACTTGTTTGTTCAAATAACCGCACCAAGAGTTTAAATATTTATGCTAATCAAACGAGCAATGCAAAGTTGTTTGAAAATAAACACCTTGTCCAAAATACAATAAAATACAATACAATATTTATTTATAAAGCACATTTAAAAAACAACCGAAGTTGACCAAAGTGCTTTACAGAATAGAATAAAAACATTGAAATAATAATAAATAAAACAAGACTATCAAATTTAAAACACAACAATAATAAAATAACAATTGAACCAATGATCAAGGGGTATTGAAAGCTAGAGAGAACAGATATGTCTTTAGAGCAGACTTAAAAGTAGAAATAGAGGGAGCTAATCTAATGTGAAGAGGAAGACTGTTCCAGAGTTTCGGACCTGCAGCTGCAAAAGTGTGATGATTTTACTACAGTACTGATCTGTTTGTCAAATTTTAAGTTATGATCAAACAGAACGACCAGATTTCTTGCACATTGAGCTTCATATGGGGCCAGAGAGCCACACCCAACATCTAACACACAATTTTCCTTATGCCCAAATAGAATTATTTTGGTTTTATTTTCATTTAAATTTGAGAAAATTGCTTTAAAAGCCAAAGCTTAAGTTCGTCTAAGCAGGCCAACAGTGGTTGTAAGCCATTTTTTATCATAATGCTTTAAAGGAAAATATATCTGAGTATCATCAGCATATAGATGAAAGGATACTTGTTAAAAATGGAATTTGTGAGCATTTGTGAGCACTGTAATGTCTATAACAGCTGGAAAGCCTGAGACAGGATTATTTTCTTCCAAAGCTGGGATTGATTCTTTGGAGCATTCTTTTAAAGCAGGTTATCAGTGTTATCCAACAGACCATATCATTTTTTCATGAACTTTAACCTGGATTTTCAATGTTTGCCCAAAAACGGCAATGGTTAACAGTCAGAACTCTCTATAATAATCCAGCACTTACTATTTTGTGCATGTTTATATTGTTAACACTTTCTATTATTGTATAATTCGCTATTATTGTTAGTAAAAATAAGTTCTTAGTGTAGTATAACATTTCTTATTGTAATCCTGAAAAATGATTTGCTTTAGACAGTCCATGCCCCAAATAAAGTTAGGTAGGGTTAGGGGTATGAAACAAATGAAACTGAAATGGAAACTTAAGAATTGAGAACACAAGTTACACATTTGCTGAAGATGTTTCACTATCCTAAAGAACAGATTCGTTAGAGTAGAATAAAACATAATTAGAGTTAGAAATTAAATTATTGGAAAGTCTGTGGAGTTAATATAAAAATTGTAAAAAACTTATTTGGTAAAGATTAGAAATACAGGACAGGTGTGGGTTTATTGAAATAAATATCTACTGGGCCAGAAATTAATTATCATTTTAAGATAAAAAAATCATTAATATAAATCTATAATTTTTTAAATAACACTCAGTTCAGTTTTTTTATTGAAAAAGATTGTTTATAAAAACAATATTTTCTGTGATTTTCAGGCTTGCGGAAGTCATGGCAAATAACCAAAAAAATGAAAATAAAAAAATCATGAAATTTTCATTGGAAAAATGGAGTGCATAATATTTGTCTTTCTAGTTATGCTCAGATGTACACTATTTTTTGCCACAAGTGCAATTTCTATACAATTTTCAAAAATCCATGTCCAGCAGTCACAAATAAGTGCACTCTAAAAAATGCTGGGTTGTTTCAACCCAACTTTGGGTCAAATATGGACTAACCCAACTTTTAGGTTAAAAATTTAATGTAAAAATTTAACCCAACGGTTGGGTTAGTCCATATTTGACCCAAAGTTGGGTTGAAACAACCCAGCATTTTTTAGAGTGCGGAAAAAATTCAATTCATTGGTCCAAGGTAGCGGCATCTAAACACACGTATATCAGATCTTAGGCTACAGGCCACAGTCATGACTATTTTAGGGTTACAGCATTCCTTGTTGTACTGAGGTATAGCAGAACTTTGCCGTTTGCCTACTGTGCATCCTACAACAGATTTGAGATTTGAACCCTTAAACATGCGGCGTATGACTTCCACCTCTGGGTTGCTGTCAAATATTTGCAATGCTCTCAAATGTATTGTATTTTATCATATCATTTAATCCTACATGCTTTTGACATTAAGACTTAAAGTGTGTCAACAAACAGGTTATAACAGGTAATCATGGAGCCTGGCAGCGTCTTTTTCCTGTCAGAAACATTTGACCTGATCTCCCCCAAGACATCTTTAAATCATACTTTGGTGGATTTACTAATGTTTGACAATTTCAGTATCTTTTTGAAGCACTCCACACTTCATAGAATGGGTATCATTCAATTTTTTTTTTTTTTTTTTTTAAAGAGAAAATAGCTAATTTGTTAAACCTGTCCTGGGAGAATCTGACCATATTTTGTCCATATTAGAAAAGGTTATTTTGGCAGAAAAGTTTTTGAAGGAGAAAGATAATCTGTTGAACAAAGTGTTCTGTTGTCAAATGTATGCCTGAAAGGTCAAGCAGCAATAACAGGCGATGCTGATCCCAATTCTGGCAGGATATTACATTATAATAAAACATATGCAGTGTTTTAACATGTCTGATGCTAGCTGGCTTGGGGACAACACTGAATTTTAATAATTCTTAATATTGCATAATAGTGTTCAGTCACAATACATGGCTTTAAAGTGATAGTTCACCCAAAAATTCAAATTCTGTCACCATTTATTCACCCTCGTGCCGTTAAAATTTTTTTATGACTTTCTTGTCTGGAACATAAAATAAGTTATTTTAAGAATTTTTTTTTCTTCCATTCCATATTCTATAAACTGTCTGATAACCAACATGCATGCAGTTTTAGAATGACATGAGGGTGAGTCAATGCTGACAGAATTTTATTTTATTTTTTCCAAGTGTGCGTCAGTAGCACATTCATATTTTTCTCTCTTAACCTTATACATTTCATATAAACTTGATCTCAGATAGTGATGTGTTGCATTCGGAAATTGTCGCAAGATCATCTTGAAGGGATTTATTTTGCGATAATGACTAGCTGACTGTTTATTTTCTCGCTTTTTACTTGGATGCATATTTTAACAATGAGGAAACTATGCCACTGGTATTTGATTGAAGTATTGGATTTTTTTATTTAAATTTAAAATTGACCTGTTCATTTCATCCATCCGTTATGCATATTAAAGGAACATTCCAGGTTAAATACTCTATGCAATACAGTATGCATAATGTAAAATTAAACTTTATGGAACGCATTTGTGGAATGCTGTCGGTTACTACTGAGAATACTTTCAATTTGACCTCAGTTTGAAAAAAAAATGTACTTAATCTACTGTCAGTGTACACTCTAAAAAAATAATGTATTAGCTCAACAACAACAAACAAATTTACGCAACAGTTTGCATACATTTTTTTGAGTTATGACAACTTAAAAATCATGTTCAACCAACAAACTACATTGAGTTAGAAGAACTTAATTTGTAACAACTAATGGATTTGTGAACCTGGAACCAATTTATATTATCTTTTTTTTTCCCAATTCAAATCCACAGCTATCATAGCACATGCTAAATGTAACTTATGTAGCAGCATGTATAATGAACAAGTAAGAAGTTACTTGTCACTGGCATTAGCGCAGTCATTGCTAATAGAGTCAATGTAGTGTTTACCTTCATGTGGTCTACTCTTCAGCACAACGGTAAACACAAAAACTTAAACATAAAAGAAACTGTTTCAAATGTGAAACATAACAGCATTACACACTAACAGGTCTTTCCCTTCACTAAAAAACACATAAAATAACACTTAATTTCAACATTTATTCTCCTTATCCAGTCCTATGCAAAGCATGCTGGGAGCTAGAAATCCACTACCCAATTTCCAGAAGAGTTATTAAAGAGTTATTTTAACTTAATTTTTTAAAGAAATTCAATCAATGCAGAAATTTGAGTTTAATGGAGTGATCAACATTATTATGTCAACTGAAGTCATCAAAATAATGTTTGCAACTTAAAAGGTTTAATTAAATTATTACATTTTAAGAATGATTGAATTTTAAGAATTTTTAACTTGCAACCATGCATTTATTTAAGTTGTGGTAACAGGCCTCCTGAATCATTTTTTTTTAGAGTGATACAGTTGCCCCTAGTGTTCCACTGTAATATATTTTTGTATATATGTTTTAGTTTTTGTAAAAAATAATTGTAATCTAAATTCCTTAAAATGGTAACACTTTACAATAAGGTTCCATTAGTTAATGTTAGTTAATGTATTAACTAACATGAACAAACAAAGAACAATACATTTATTACAGTATTGATTAATATTTGTTAATGTTAGTTAATGAAAATACAGTTGTTCACGGTTAGTTCATGTTAATTCACAGAGCATTAACTAATGTTAACCAGCACAACTTTTGATTTTAATAATGCATTAGTAAATGTTGAAATTAACACTAGCTAAGATTAATAAATGCTGTAAAAGTATTGTTCATGCTTAGTTTATGTTAACTAAAGTAGTTAACTAATGAACCTTATTGAAGTGTTACCCGTAAAATAGTAATAAACTTAATTTAAGTGTACTTAAGCACTTAAATATTGATTTAAAATTACTAGTTAATAAATAAGCATTAACGTTTACTTTATTTATGGTCATTTATTTTTATTTCTCATTTATTCAAATGCAAAGTTGCTGTTACTGTCAAGCAATCAGTCTGTTTTTTTTTTGTGTGTATGTGTGTTTTCAGAAGAAATAGATCAAATCTGTGTTTGCATTTCTAAGATAAGATGCAGTCTGACACCATCAACAATTGCCAGAAGCTCTGAAGCAGGATTCTGTTTCAAAGAAAGTTCAGTTAGTGGTTGAAATATTCTCCAAAATGGTACTGCAATGCTAAAGAATGCAGGTGTTTCAAAACCCATTGAAAATGGTTTGACTGGTGCGCTTCACATTCCTGTGTTGATGTGTTGAAACAGGAAGTTGGGGCAGAACATACAGCACTCCCTCCCCTTTTTATATAACAGCCAATAGCCTTTAGTTTACATCACAGCCCAGTAAACCACACATAGCCACTTCCTCCACAAAGAAATATAGGTAATGTATTACAATTAGCACCAAAAATAAACCATAATCTGCTATTTGTTATAGGAGGCTGATGGTATTTATAATCTTTTTATCATTTAGAATTAAAAGGGCATTTTCATTCTAGAGATCATTTAATTGAACATTAACATTTTTGGTTTTGTAACAAACATTTAACATTTAATTAATGTTTACACAAGCATATAGATGTTAGCCCCAAAACTAACATACATTGGCTGAAATTTGGTCTTTAAACTGATTAAGGGAAGGTTTTTACATCCCAACACATTTGAATCATTCAGCCAGTGAACAACTGCAACATGTCATACTGTAATTTACGTCATGTGTTTTGACAGGAAAATAACTGATGGTAGAGTTATTTAGCATAAAATCAAATGGTTTATGGAAAACTATTGTCATCATGACCCATTAACATTAGCAAAGTTAATTTCATTGCGTGCCAGAAGATATACGACTAAATTAAATGCAAGTAAATGCCATTAATTAGGTTTTATAGTGTGTACAGAAGCTTAATTTAAAAAATGTGTAGGCACAGCCAGGAATATTGTTTGTTTTACCGTGTTTAATTAGCGCCTAAAGTAATGTTTAATGAGTGTGTGTGAGTGTGTATGTTTAGTCAGTGTGTACTTGTTGGTCATCTTTGTTCCTGTCTGTTTATTTCTCAGATAACGTTTACCTCAGATCAGGTAAGCCAAGCCTACTTCTCTTTCTCTTTCTCTTTCTCTCTCTCTCTCTCTCTCTCTCTGTCCTCTTTTCTCTCAGACCAAGGGCAAAGGTTTGCTTTCAACTTTTTCAAATCAAATAAGCAAAAGCACCATGTTTTCACCATATGATATTGCCGGTTATAGCTAAACCGTTATTTAGAAAGAGTATACGTATGTAGGTGTTTGTAAGGTGTAGTTCACCCCAAAATGAAAATTTGCTGAAAACTCACCGTCAGGCCATCCAAGGTGTAGATGAGTTTGTTTCTTCATTAGAACAGATTTGGATAAATTTAGCATTACAGTATATCAGGTCCTCTGCAGTGAATGGGTGCCATCAGAATGAGAGTCCAAACAGCTGATTAACACATCAATAGACACGACTCGTATTTTGGCCAGAAGCGACAGTTTAAAGTTAAAATGCCTTAACGTTGGATTTGTTTCTTACGAACATGCAGCTTTTCATTTCACAAGATCGGAGTCGTGTGGATTATTGTGAGGTTTTTATCAGCTGTTTGGACTCTCATTGTGACGGCACCCATTCGCTGCCGAGGATTTATTAGTGAACAAGAGATGTAATGCTACAGTTCTCCAAATCTGTTCAGATGAATAAAAAACTCATCTACATCTTTGATGCCCTAAGGGTTAGTTCATTTTAAGCAGATTTCAATTTTTGGGCAAACTATTCCTTTAAGATGATTTTATTTCAAAATGTGTACAGCCCTTGTTTATTTTATACACTGTGAGTGAGTCTAAAAGTCACTAAAATTATTTAAAAAGTTGTATCTTTAAAATTAAGTTGCATAATTATCGCAAGTGAAAAGGTTAAAAAATTATGGGACAGAAATCTCATTTTATCACACCTACATCTGGACAGTCCAACTGTGTCACACTTCCCTTAGATCATTTACATTTAACTGCAAAATTCGGTCATCGTCTACCCACTCTTGGTGTTCTTTCCTTGTGTAACAAAAAATTCAAAGCTGCTCTTTTCCATGCAACAAAAGCCATAATAATCACTAGCTGTCGAATTCTGTTTTGCCTGTATTTTTAAAAGAATTTGAACGTGGTTCTCCTTTCACACTGAACAAAAACTACACTATTATTAGTTCTATTTTTGAAAATAGTTCTTAAATTCAAACTGCTGCAAACCTACAAAATGAGAAATTGTGAAGGATTGAATCCGTGTATCATTCGATCATTCGTTTTTTGATTTAATATTGAAAGTAGAAAAATGATAAAACGGCTCCTTTTTCGTTTTTTGTTTTTTTCCAAACAAAATATGAAATTGATAAAATGGGTTATTAATCCGTACAACTGCAGCAGTGGAGGACTATTATTCTGCTGCGTGATACTGCAGAAGAACTGATGATGGCACGGTTTGATCTTCGGCTGACCAATCAGCAGAAAGAGGCGTTTAATTCCCACCCACGTGTAGAAATCGAATATTCAAGCTGTTTATTAATTTTTCCACCCATGAACGAAAAACGAAAATTTAAGCTGAAAAAGGAGCAGTTTTCTAATTTTTCTACTTTCAATATAAAAAAAAAAAAAAACGAAAAAGCGCCGTTTTCTCATTTTTCTACTTTCATTATTAAATCAAAAAATGAATGATCGAATGATACACGGATTGATCTTCTATAACGACTCATTAGTTTTGTTTGATGAACAAATGCAATGCAAGTTGCAATTCACTCAAATTCTTGACTATCTGTTCTATTTTTCTTTCTTTAATGAGCAAATTCTTATTTTTATTTCAAATTCTCCTTACTATTCTTATTGATTCAGTTGTTATGGTTCACAAAGCCTGTCTCGACTTCTCGACACATTGGTCATATACATACTTTTATGATTATTTTAATGGTGTTTTTATAGTTTTTTAAAAATATATTTTATAGTTTTTTGCTCTAGTCCCAATTCATTGTCCAGTCCCAATAGCTACAGTCCCAATTCATTGTCCAGTACCAAATAGCTCCAGTCCCAATTCATTGTCCAGACTCAATAGCTCCAGTCCCAATTTATTGTCCAGACCCATTAGCTCCAGTCCCAATTCATTGTCCAGACTCAATAGCTCCAGTCCCAATTTATTGTCCAGACCCATTAGCTCCAGTCCCAATTCATTGTCCAGACTCAATAGCTCCAGGCCCAATAGCTCCAGTCCCAATTCATTGTCCAGACCCAATAGCTCCAGTCCCAATTCATTGTCCAGACTCAATAGCTCCAGTCCCAATTCATTGTCCAGTCCCAAATAGCTCCAGTCCCAATTCATTGTCCAGTCCCAATAGCTCAATAGCTCCAGTCCCAATTCATTGTCCAGTCCCAATAGCTCCAGTCCCAATTCATTGTCCAGTCCCAATAGATCCAGTAGATCCAGTTCCAATTCATTGTCCAGTCCCAAATAGCTCCAGTCCCAATTCATTGTCCAGTCCCAATAGATCCAGTCCCAATTCGTTGTCCAGTCCCAATAGCTCCAGTCCCAATTCATTGTCCAGTCCCAATAGCTCCAATAGATCCAGTCCCAATTCATTGTCCAGTCCCAAATAGCTCCAGCCCCAATTCATTGTCCAGTCCCAATAGCTCCAGTCCCAATTCGTTGTCCAGTCCCAATAGCTCCAGTCCCAATTCATTGTCCAGACTCAATAGCTCCAGTCCCAATTTATTGTCCAGACCCATTAGCTCCAGTCCCAATTCATTGTCCAGACTCAATAGCTCCAGTCCCAATTTATTGTCCAGACCCATTAGCTCCAGTCCCAATTCATTGTCCAGACTCAATAGCTCCAGGCCCAATAGCTCCAGTCCCAATTCATTGTCCAGACTCAATAGCTCCAGGCCCAATAGCTCCAGTCCCAATTCATTGTCCAGACTCAATAGCTCCAGGCCCAATAGCTCCAGTCCCAATTCATTGTCCAGTCCCAAATAGCTCCAGCCCCAATTCATTGTCCAGTCCCAATAGCTCCAGTCCCAATTCGTTGTCCATGTATGAAAAAGACCGGATATAGCAACTTTTTTCTTCTTCTTTAATTTCCCCTTTTGTGTTTCATGGAAGAAAGTAAGTTGTACAGGTTTGTAATAACACTAGGGTGAGTAAATGGTGACAGAATTTTCAATTTTTGTGAACTAGTCCTTCAAAACTTTGGTCGATACACGTCGTCTCACATGAACCCAAATCTACACCCATGTCTCAGATGCGTTCTGGGTCTTTTTCTATATTTCTCGTCTCATCTTTCTCAGACATGCTCTTCTTTCTCATAATTGTTTTTCAATCCCTGCAGCATTTTCTGTTTATCTTCCTTCCTTGTTCCTTATGCTTGTTTGCTCAGTTCTGTGAATTAGATTATGTGAGTATGAATGAGAGTGTGTGAGAGGTGTGAACTTTATGGTGGTTTCAGCGTGAGCTTGTGTATTTGCATGCATTTGTGTAGCTGAGACATACAAAGTTAAGGCAACTCCGGAGGTCATATGTAAAGCTACTTAGCCTGGCATGCTTCACTTGGTGCACGTTCATGTTTGCACGTATATCATGCTCTGTGAAACCCATTTTACACCTTCTTTCTGTTTCCGGTGCAAAAACAACTGTTAAATGTAAAACATTATGCATACAGATAAAAACATTTATATATTATTTATATATTATCACCTCTGATAAAAAATGCCAGATAATAAAATGAAATAATACAAATAAGACAAAAAAAATTAATAATAATAAATAAAAATATAACTAAATTAATAAGTAAATATAAAAAATTTAAAATATACTTTTTTAACAAAATAAAAGATAAAGGAAATATTTAAAATACTACAATTTAGGCATCTCAACATTATAATCTACACTATAAAATATGAACCAAGATTTCTTTTTTTTTTTTTTTCTCCGCCGGGAGTTTGATTGACAGGCAATCTGACCAATCATAGTGCAGAATCTGCCATTTTGTCAGACAAACAAACCAGACAGGAGAGTAGATGAACTTAAGTAGACTTTAACTTGAAAAATGATGTGTATTGACATCTTTCCGCAGTTGAAACAAGACACCTTCTGATGTTCATTCATGTTTATTTCGTGCTATAGCTAGTAAAGAGGAAGAGATGATCGGCTCACGTGCTGCTTGAACTGAGAAACTACAGTGACCCATTACGACAAATTAAAGAGCCACAAAACAGTATTTATTGTTTGAATTTATTAAAAATCACAAAATTAAAAAGCTGAGACTTTGTTTCATACCAAAATTAACCTGCTCTGTTGGCGCGTTGTCAGTGTCCTCTTTGTTCCGCAAGGTATTTATCCGCAATGTACGTTAAAGTGACATGGCTTGTCAGATGAAGCAACAGTAACAAAGGGGGGGCGGGTCTTTGCGAAGAGTCAATTGAATATTCAGTATCAACGATGCAATCAATCAATCAATCAATCAATCAATAAAAAACTAATTTTTATTATTGGCTGATTGTGCATCCCTAACAGTGTTATTTTAGTATTATTTAAATACTATTATAGTATTTATTTTTATTTTTAATGAACATTTGAGTTTTTATTTTAATTTTAGAAGTTTTTTTATTTTAATATTAGAAGTTTTTAGTAATTGTTTTGTATATTTTATTGAAATATTTCTATTTTTCTTTATTTTTTTCTGTTTTAGTTTTATTAAAGGGATAGTTCACCCAAAAATGAAAATTTGATGTTTGGAACGATCGGTCTGTGCAAGAAACCGAACAGTATTTATATCGGTTTTTACCTGTGATGCACTGCAATGTCTGAACTGTCCTGAGCGCGTTCGCGTCTTCTTCTTCTGCCGGCGCGTGACACGTCTTCTTCTTGCTTTACTTACGATCGCAGACTTATAAGTGCATTACCGCCACCTATCGTCAATGGTCCATTTGAGAGATAGGTGGCGGTAATGCACTTATAAGTCTGCGATCCGCCGTAAAGCAAGAAGAAGAAGAAGACGCGTCACGCGCCGGCAGAAGAAGAAGACGCGAACGCGCTCAGGACA